GCACTGAAGTCTCCGGCGACTACTACGATGTCCGTTGATCAAGCACTATGGAGTAGTTGAGAAAGATCCTGGTAGAATTCATCCTTGATTTCAGGTATACTGCAATCGGTTGGTGCATACGCCGATACGACGAAAAAGCATCGACGCTTCGTTCTGCAGCTGTTGACTCGAACTGAACCGTTGAGACATACAGCGCACAATCGGCTACTGACGAATCCAGCCAAGAAGCGAGCGCTCAGCCTGGTCACTTAGCGCAATCTCAACACCAGCAACACCGCGAGCTTCGGATGCCCAATCGCCTGACACACGAAGGGTGAAGCGTGAGGTTGAGGTTGGATCAGGAGAACGCAGAGAGATAATGGAAGTAGGGTCTTGTATGCGTGTTTCGGAGACACAACATACATCTACATTGAAAGTTTCGAGGGTTCTAGCCAGGGCAGCTTGTTGTCCAATTTGATAGAGCGTGCGGATATTGAACGCGGCTAAGTGAAAAGGGGATTTTGGCTTTAAAAATCCTGTAGCTTCTGAATATCTGGCCTTGATGGTAAAACGCTGAGTGACATTCGATGAGTGGCATAAACAGGAGGTATCTGGGATTATTCGGGGTTGAGAAGAAGAACTAGAAAGACGAGAAGGATGGTTTTCCAAATGGGTACCCAAGACTCTAGGGTGCGACATACTTCGCGGTAGCCTACACCGACGAAGGAGGTTTTCTTTGGGAACCCTAACCGGAGCCTTTGACTCAAGAGTCTGGCCCGCAAGGCAGTGGGGCGTGAACGAAGCACCCGTGTGGGAGCTTCTGGAGACCTGTCACGCAAGGACTTTGAATTTCGGTTAAGTTTGTTGTTTGCTGGACGGGACAGCACCTTATTGGTTGGGGGCTGCCCAGCTTGGGCGGGCGGTAGCTGTCCAATGAAGAGCAAAGACTTCTCCCACCGTCGAGAGGAAGCTCCAGGAAATTCGCTCCTACGTCCATCTAGCGGGGGGGGTCGACTGGTAAACTGCCCCTCGGCGTGTTTATTTGCTGGAGTGGCCTCTCCAGGGGCGGGTGTGGATAAAAGGAAGGAAGCCAGGAGGTACCCAAGCAGCTGGCTTTGTGAGACTGAGCTCTGTTTGGCCTCTACCCGTTGAACTTTCAAGCATGATAGGATCTACGGCTGTGAGAAGCCATCCTGAGTAGCTCGCAGGGTCATTGAGGCACGCAAGTTATCACACCACGTCAAGGTGCAGTCTCATCTTGATGGTCTAACTCTCGATGATGAGTTATGGAGCACAATAATTGTTGGGTTGAGTGTTTCCCATGTAAAATATACTCTTTCGTACAATATGATGCATACAAATGCCTTTATGTTTAGGGAAAAAGATGATTACTCACGGAAGCCGGTAGACAAATTTGTGGTGCGCGCGGTCTCAGAAGATCCGCGAAAAATGCAAGTGCGGGACTAGACTGTGTTGGTGTGCATGCGGTATGTGCGGGATCTTGTGCGGCATATGTGGATGCATCAACATCGAGATCTGTGATACCGTTTTCAAGTTGAGTGTAACCGGGCCAACCAAGTGGATAAACTTGGGCAAATCCCGTCAACAGAATCGCATCCAGTTGGGGGAAATAGGAGCAACGACCGCCATCAATCTCCAATCGAATTAGATCGGTCGGATAAGGAGGAACGTTGATCTGTGAGAGAAACGTCAGACTTTTGTGAGTGGATTTGGCATATATCGAGGAATAACACTGAAAGAACAAACTCAGATGTTTTGTAAGTCTAGCTTATATAGTGAACTTATTTGAACATCCCTACGCATCAGGAAATCTAGGTACCTACAAGCATACTTGCACTAACAAACTAATCTTTGATTTACGTAGGGCAGATATATTTTCAAGTTTTTCACAACCATTAACTATGCACCGTTGTGCGGCGGTTTTGGTTGATGTCTTTTGGCTGCCCATTTGGATAAAAGAGCAGAAGGAAGATTGTTATGTTCAGAGCAGAGTCAAAGTGAAGAAAGAGAATTTATATAGACTGGGTTGCAATAATATTGAGTAGATGCACGATATCCAGCCATATCACTGTGTCTCTAACCTCCGGTTACCACGATCTCGGGGTCCCCATTCAGAAAACCTAACGGTACCTATGTCTGAGTTCGACCGCCCTTGGACTTTTTCACCTACTACCTACCTCGGCAAACATTGAGCACCTTGGTGACCCATTTGGTGACATGCTTAATGTCCCAACCAGCGTTGTCTATGGAGGTGTACCACTTGTTGCAGTGGAAGACCGTGAGTACTTAAAACAGCGTCTAAAGTCAACATTATTTGTCCCGTTTCCCCAACATACTTGCGCAATGCGACGAAGACAGAGATGTTCGAACACCGACAATCTATTTTTATCCTGTTTTCGTAATTGCCAAGTCCCTGCACCGTATAGCAGCACTGGTCTAACTGCTGCAGTATACACTCGACTCTTCACAGACACCCGGATGTTGCGACGGCGTCACAGATGTCTGATGTTCGCAAGTGCGTATGCGTACCGACACACCGCCTAATGACCCTGTATCGTTAACCCCAATACATCCAAATGTTCAGTGATTCAGAGATTCAGTAAGCTACCTGTGAGTGACAAATGAATACAGTAGATCTACAAATAAACAGCTTAAACAACCATCAACCTTGCGCATTTGTATTACTGCGCGATGGCCGTTATTCTGCTACCTCATCATCGGTGTGGGTTCCCATTAGGTGTGCTGTGCCCTCAAGCGTTAGGTATTCATCTCGAGGAAATTCTCCCATATATTTACTTCATTCATACTCGCCTGCTTTCAGGGTATGGCACTCAGAATGTGAGCAAATCAGACGAAAAAGCATGGAATAAACCGGGATCTTTATTTAGCCGCATTCTAAGTTCGTACACTACATCAGAATAAACAACAAGCTACTTTAACCACATTCCTTGAAACTTCCAATTTGGTAATGTGGTGTCTCTGGAACAGGAATAAAAGACCCTGCCTAAAGTATCATACCGTATTCTTCAAACCTGACCAGAACACTCCATTTCACTTCCGTGTCTCGCAATTCGACATGCAACGGCCACGATTCTACCGGTATCGGGTTTGCCCTGAGGCATAAGGCTGTACAGTTGCGTATAAACTCAATGTAAGGTTAAAGTCGATCAAACCTCCGTCAAAACAACGCAGGATTCTGGCATAGAAGCAAAGCAACCAATCTCTGCTGCTCTCCTCAACTTTCGCAGAACCTTTTCTTCGGATGCCAAACATGACATTAAGCGCAAGGCCAGTGAGAGCGTGAGGAACGATAGTGATAGGTGCTTGGTAGCAAAATGTAAGATGGAAAAGGTTGCAGGCACTGGTAACACGCAATCTTTTCTGTATAATCAGGAATACGGGTACAACGAAATCAGGTGTAACTTATGCAGCTAGGAAGTTCAACTGTATACTGATTCGTCTTTGACAACGCCACATGGAGTGATGGGCCGAAAATTTTAAGGCAGTGCAGCTGGCCGTCACCGACATACAGCTTCTCAATCATGGCCTGAACTGAGCAACCGATTGACATCAGTCATTAGGACTATAGAGATTACTCGAAAGAGATACCACCTGGAAACGAACAAAGCCACTGACCCATAATTCACCATTAAAGATGGGGGCTCGGAAATGATTTTGAAATAGACGAAACACCTAGATTCATTAAGGAGAGTGAGCAGATGCATGAATCATCAGTTATCTTGCAGATACAAGGATCAGATCTTCTTGTGTAAACTCCAGAGAAAATAGATTTATTAGCATTACCTCAAAGATTCCCGTTAGCAGTGGATTCCATAGCTTGTTTGCTGCACAAGTAGGGCATATACGCGAAAATCAGACTAGTTTTAGACTGGGCCAAAGATGCACCGATCATATTCTCACCGTTCATCAAATCCAGAAACAGACAATTCTCTCGTAGATCCACCATTCCTATCCTAATCTTTCTG